AAATGGTATTAATGGCTAACTTCAAATGATCCACGAAATTGAACGATACATCCACCATTGTCGTCAGTGAGTTACTATCTCACAACAGACCCGGTTGAACTCCTCTAGTTACTGCTTATCATAAGAACTTCAGGATATGCATCTTGAAGCCAGTCACTAGTGAGCATATATCGATTCATATCAGAAGGATTTTCGTGAATATTATAGTAAGTTCAATAGTTGAGATCATGAGTCAATTGAAGGTAGATCATCGCCAAAAACCTGGAACCACTGGATGTCTGGGTCTGTCGTGAGATAGTAACTCACTGTTGACAAACGTGGACCTGCTGCTCAATTTCGTGGATTAGCTAAAGTTAGACATTACATCCGTCGGATGCCGTCCGGTTCAGTGGTCCTGTGGTTAAGCGCTCGCGTGCTTCTTCGTCCATTGCATGTTATAGACGCGGTTCTGTGTGTGGAATAAAACACAAAGTATACTAACGAAACGTTTTGTGATATATTTGTTTAGTAATAACTGTAGAATATTCATTAGTTTACTTTCTTACGCCTGTTACCCCTCGTCCAGGAGCATAGACCACCCACCAACACTCTCCATCCAACCCTGTTGTGGGTAATCCTTCCCATCTGTATTTGAGTGTGCGTAAGTATTCTCAGTGAAACTTGGAGATGAAAAATTACATGCTATATTAAACATTTTAACAACAATATAGTGTAGCGGTTGTTGCTATGATGTTTGGCATAACGAATGAGATATTAAAGTCACAGTATATACTTTGATCGTAATTACTGATATACACATTCATGAAGCTTTAGTTGTAAACAAAAGAATGAATAATTTGGCTTTGACAACTAACAGTTTAAAAATATTGACATAATACATTTAAAGTTATTAACAAAGCACTTGCACTGGGAATATATAGGCTCTTCAGTGGCTCTACATCTAGCTTCAGTTAGATGGTTTCTGATTGTTATCCAAATATACATGGTTCTGTCCCTCGTATATTTTCATCGACCTAAATCGTATTGGTAAATAACGGAATTAATTAAATAAGTCAATTATGAGAATGAATTTCGTGGAGAAGTGGAAGCGAAACAGAGCGGAGTGGAGAAGGTGAGTGAATCAACTCATTTTAACCAAGCATGACTGGATAGTTATATTCAGACCAAAAATAAGTTATAGACACATAATGAATAAGGTGAGCAATGAACATACATACAATCATATAAAAACAGTCAATGCGACTAAGCGATTAATTGGTAAGACTATAATTTATGGACGACCTTTTGGCGACGCTAAAGTAACCTTGAGAGTGTCTACCTACTTACTAGGGCTCAATGAGTGTTATAAAGCAGTTTCAAGGATAAATACTTTGATTTACAGTTGGTGGGTAGGGTTAGGAATTAGATTTAGGGTTTTCCTCACGTACTGACACTAGCTTTAATGCCGAAACTCTGTTTACAAAAGTGTCTGAATGAATTTTGTGCCGAAATCTGAGATCTGTCATCTTATACGTGTTTGGTTTGTCCATAAATTATAGTTCCGCCGAATTTTCTTCCTCCATTGAATATAATGAACATTTTTCAACTTCAACAATACTGATGATTATTACAATGTAAGCTCAGATAATAATAATGTACTCTATCAGGACTCAGTAGTTAAGTGAATAACATGGTGGCGTTTGAGGTGAACGGTACTGGGTTCGAGTCCCAGGGTGAATTTCAAATCTGAGATGCATGTACATCCACTTGACGAGCCTCAAATAGGACGAAATGTGCGTCCTGAATTTCTCTGCTAGTCACTATCCATCTTTGCTTGTACTCTATCTTTTTGTCATGTATGCATTTCACTTGTTTCAGGTTATTAAAACCACTTAAAATTAACGAAATAAGGAGGAAATTGTGAAACAGGGGAGTAATTTAAAAGAGTTATATATGAAAAAGAAACTATATATAATTGATTTCTGTACTGGTTGTTGGAATCTTCCCATTGAAGTTTAGAACTGAAGTTGAAAGAAATGGGTGTCCTGGATTTCACTGTACAGGATTCACATATATCAATGAGAGATTGATCAACTGAAGAGGAAATTAGGAAATGACGATGGAAATGGATAGGACATATATTACGCAAATCAGTAACTGCATCACAAGACTAGCCATAACTTTTAATCCTGAAGGGAAATGTAACAATGGAAGGCCAAAGAACACATTAGGTCGGGAATGGGAAGCAGATATGAAAAGGATGAATAACACCTGGAAAGAACTGGGAAGGATTTCCCAGGACAGAATTGGTTGGAGAATGCTGGTGGGTGGCCTATGCTTCTGAACGAGAGGTAACAGGCATAAGTAAGTAAGTCCCCTGTTGAAAAAAATGTCCATGAATCAATCACCAAATTTGATTTATTCTCTAATAGACGAATCATTTATTAGTAATGTAAATAAACTAATATAAATATATTAATAAACAATTGTTTATGAACATTGAAATGTCATATTATATTCAATAAATTAATTAGATTTTAAGTAAGAACTTGTCAAATGAATAAACATAAATGATTGAACACCATCTTCAAATAACATCAAAGAATAGATTAGAGTGTTGTTTACAAGTTAAGTATGTTGATAATTAGTTCAAATTCGAATGATTTTTAGTAGATATTCAATGGTCTATACATAAGGTATTCCTAAATTAGATTAAACTGAATTCACATGTATCTTGCGATTGTTGTTTAGGACTGTAATCGACCAGCCTCTTGTTGGTATATGTGTGCATCCTGGACGGATTGCTTCGATATAGCTTTAAATCACAAGCATTCCAAGCAAATATGGATAGTGGTTAACAGTGGGATCTAGGACACTCGTTTCATCCTATTTAGGACTTAAGGTAAGTATGGAGGCAGTCCACATAGCATGCACATATGCCAACATGAGACTGATCAATTTTAGTCTTAAATAACAATCGGAAGATACAAGTAAACAATACCAAGTGAATTTAAATTTCATCCTATTGCAAAAGCAAGTGGCCATCAGGACTCAGTATTTAAGTGAATAATGTGATCGCGTTTGAAGCAAACAGTACTGAGTTCGAGTCCCATAGTGAACAACTCTTAAGTTTTGAAAGAGAGAGAGAGAGAGCTATCACGGGTTCACGTAGTTTGAGAACGAGATCTAGGATTCGGTGACCAAGGTTCAGTAAGCTATCTATTGACGCGTCACAGCCCGCTATCTAGAGAGAGAAGACCAAGCTTAGAATGAAAGTATATTCTGTAACAACCAGAAAACCAGCAAACATTTACAAGACAATTTCCAAACTTATATATACAATTATATATACATCGATATTGTCATGGAGCTTTGAAACATTTAATCGATAGTTCGTCGATTGACTACCATTGAAATATTTAAACATTTAATCGATAATTTCGTCAATCAACTATGTGCGTGGGCGATAAGAAATGCCCACGTATACATGTGCAAACAAGCTCCACAAGATAAATTACAAACTATGAGTTTTTAGGGATCTACCGTCCCCAACAACATCAACACTGAAATTCAGGTACATCTAGTTGACAACTTCCAAATAGGAAGAAACGCGCGTCCTTAATTATTCTCTATCCAGTTTTTCCATAAATAGGTTCAATAGATATTACTTAGTTCATCAATTAAGTACATTGTCAAGTTGTAGTTGAAAATTTTGTTTATTATTTACTGAATTTTCGAGTAAATTCTTTTTTTCCTTCTTATTTAAACCCAAAAGAATGATTGTACTACTCCCTACGGTAGTTCAAAATTGTATGTCCATAAATACATATGTACACTTTATCGATATTCTGGACAAAATTACACTAAACACTTTTGTATTCTGATTAGTGTTTTTTTCTTAGTAAGGTTGTTTTCTACAGAATAAAGAATACTGTTATGCCACCTATGCTTCTCCATGAGGGATAAGTGTAAGTCTAAGTAAGTACTTTTGTATAGAACATTCTTTTTTTCTTTTCAAAATTTAACTGATTGTAAATGGTTCTTTGAACTGAACAAACGTACGCACTTAAAAGTGATTCATTGAAATGAATATACATTTATATTCCTTCTCGTTTGATGGATAAAATGGTGAGCAAGTACAGTAGTTAAAACACATTGTAATCAAGTTGAAACAAGCTTGATATTCTTCTTTGTTTAAATATAATTAGACTTATTCAATTGACTTATGCAATTGATCAGTCTCCTATGGACATATGTGCATTTTGCCTTAATTCATAAGCATTATAAGCAAAGATGGATAGTGGCTAATAGTGGAATCCAGGACGCGTGTTTCGTCCTATTTGAGACTCGTCGGTCAGATCTACCTGCATCTCAAAGTTGATTTTCACTATGGGACTCGAACCTAGTACTGTTCGCCTAAAATGCCGTCACGTTATCCATTTAGTTACTGAGTGCTGATAACCACATGCTTGGGGTAAAGTTTAACTGCACTTGGTATTGTCTTACTTGAATTTTCCCATTGTTATTTAGGACTACAATTGACCAGTAAGGACTATCAAAAATATATCTTCACTGATCTCAACGTAGCATGCTAACCTATCTAATATAAACAGAAATCGTCATCACAAAACACCTTGTTTCGCAAAAATGGTTTTGTGTGCTCTATTTCACTCTCATTCTAGAATGTACAAATGAACTTATTCATGTACCCGTTCACTTTGACAAAGACCAAAAGTGTAGGCCCGGATGGACAATCACAAGTAAGATTATCAGAGCGTACGTGTGAAAACAGCAGTTGATGGTTTTAGAAGCGCCAGTCGAATTTTCGTAAACCAAAAAATCTAACTCAAGGAAAATAACATAACTGAAATTATCGATACTTTTGTGATTGACACTAATACCCAAGTGTTGTGCACGGTTTAGATCCGAATTCCAACAGGACAAGGTATTTTTATTTTATTAGATTACGACCATAAGGTCTCTCTGGTTAGGGAGTTCGGTGAATTACGAACAAAATTAAGATGGCAACATTCGGTATGTATTTTTGATTCAAATCCTCAGCAGATTGTGTTCTCCCATCCACTTTTTTTACTCACACTTGTATGTTTATATCTGCTTGCACCTAACTATTTCTAATTCTTACGTTTTAAAAATCCGACATTTTAAGGATTACATCGTTTCAAACGTATAATTGGTGGACAATCTGTCCCACGCGGTACGTACCCATGGGCAGCATCAATTCAAGCTAAACGACATACATCATGGTCAACATTAGTTACAGGATCCGAACAGCATTACTGTGGTGCAGCTTTAATTAAACCTGATTGGGTAATTACAGCAGCGCATTGTTTATACGACAGTGGAGAAGATGATGAAATTATCAGGTGAATTTTTGGTTACATTGCTCACTTTAAGTGTAAAATTCAAGAAAAAATTAGTTTAAGTTACACTTGGCAATCACTAAAAAGTGGTGCGAGCTCTGGTCTCTGTCTACACTGAGATTTGAACTTTCCATACATAGGATCATTGGAAAGGTGATACAATTCTCTGTTTGAGATGATTTTAAAGTAAACATCTGAGAATTTCTGAATAGTCAACGCTTTCTTAATATAACCCATATATCAAATAAAGGCTAATATACTCAGCTCAAACTATACTTTTATGTGTGGTGAGGCTAATGTACTATCTACGATGCCAATGGAGTACAGTTCTAACTAATCATCACTGATTGCAACCAAAAACCTACTAAGCGGCTGTATTATTACATTAACAACAGGTAAAATAGATTTCGTAATAAGTTGTGAGGAATAAAAAGCACTGAACAGTTATCCACAAATTTGGATTGCGGCTACCACTGGAATTCAGATTTCCCGTTTTCGTCTTTGGTGTCCTCATTTTGACAACTGGAAAGTCCAAACACTTACAAAGTCGACAGTAATTCACATCTACCTCTCAGCCAAAGAAAATGTTCGAGTTTTGAAAATACGAGTTCATTTACGCAAAATATAAGGAATATATTCACTGAACGAATTAGAGTAATTGATACATGTACAATTCTAGGGATTCATGTGTCCCTGATATTTCGAAACAGTTACTTCAAATGTAGCATAGCACGATCAAATTAGTTATCAATTCTGTCAATATTTGACACCGAAGTACTTAATGAGTCCAGTAAATACGCAGTGAGCTAATTAGGTTGCAGTGAAGATTGATAACAGTGGAAATTTATTGAAACTTAAGAACATCCCCAGGAAATTTATGGACTGTTGAGGGTTGTTTATGGAGAATAAGCATCGAACAAAATAAATCCTTTCAAGTGAATTAAATATTTGAACGAGGATAATGAAAACTATGAGAATTATTATAAGAAGACGCTCGTTGACATATTGTGTTGAGGCGATTAATTAACACTTGCGGTTACTTGTGCTTTCTGGTCGTTTCATCATTGGCTGAGTGTTTGGTGATGAAGTGAATTTGAATATTCTATTCAGATAATTTTAGTAAAACGTGAACGGATAATGCAAATAAAGATCCTGACATCAAACAACTTCTAAGGAGATTTAAAGTGATGAATTAGGTATATTGCCTCAGATAGAGAGTATCTTAACGAGGACGAATTTGAAGTACTTCATATTTTGTAAATCAAATTGTTTGCAACCTTAGTTTGTGTTTGCGTAAGATAGACAATATCCAACATTGATGGTTTGTTTAAATACCGTCTATTAATTGACATTATTCTGTAATATAGTAAAAATGTCATATGTAGTTTAATAAAGTTGGTGCAATGTTTATTTCTCTCCATTCTAGCTATCTACATCCAAAAATGTGGCATGTACGAATGGCAACTGAAAAATTAAGTGTGAGTTAGTATAATTGATGCAAATCAATATTTCAATATACTGGAATTATTTTAGTGAGAAAAAGCACGGTATATCCTATAGAAAGTGTGACATTTTAACCGATCAATTTCTTAACATTCTGTCAGCTACGATACCATCTTAAACCGGCAGTTATGAAAACTGAACGACAACAGCCATTACTCTTAATCCCGGGTGGAATTAGAATAATCATACATGGGATATTACAAAATAGAATAAACTGTTTATACACCACACCATCATTTATTGTTAGAGATGTTAGATTATATATTCCAATATCGGTCACACTAGTGCAATTCTATTCACGCGCTATATTCTCCTAAATTTTAAGAGAAATAGTACCATTGCAAACCTTTCGTCCGTCAATCTCATTTATTCTGTTTAAACAGTATTTCTTAAACTTAATTTCCTCTTTCAATGTGGTAATGTATGATATGTAACTAATTGGACTGATTTTTACCAGAGTCATTTGACATTCGCGTCAGTTATAATCAATTTAAAATCTGGCACATATGCGCATCGATTCCAGTTGTCAATAGCACGTCAACACAACAATATGGAATTATCAAGATGGATATCAACTAATTATTTGCAATACTAATGAGATACCGGATCCCAAACCAATGGTGCACATGGGCTCCAGTATCCTGAAGGAACAAATGGCGTATGAACCAATCGTTGGTCACCGGCTACCATGGGACTGCATCTCCTCACGATGCCCCACTGCCTTGTGGATCAGACGTTCAGGTCGAAGGCTCGGGGTGTGGCCCCCTAAGAAAACCACCTGCTTCGGTTTGGGAACCCGGGCAGTATCACAGCCCTCACACATATCAATTGAGGTTTGTGTGGCGCATATGGATTTGGTCCCTCTTTGTACCAATACCTATGTGTTAAAATAAATAATAATAAATAAATACTGGAGGCAAACATTAAGTTCTTAATTACTTTACAAGTTTATTACTCGTCAATTCAAATGAAACTACATGTTCTTCGAAGTACAATACCTGTGTATCAAAACCACATAATGTTTAACGTTAACTAGAGACATAGATTACTAGAAATGGTCAGATGAAGTTATTTTAAACTAGAGCAAATTAATTATACCTTACTCTACACATTACACAAAATCATTAGAAAACCTCCAACAATAACATTATCAACTTTTAGACGCAATTTCTCGTGGTTTATAAACATGAAAGCACTCTCACACAAACGACCAGTGACTCAAGACATTCCTGTATACGATTAGTAAACATGTTTTGGCTCGAATACGTACTATTCCTGTTTCTTTGTTATGGTTATTTTTACCACAACCATATTACTCCACTGTTTTCCGTCAGTGACTTCCCCTTGTGGTAAGTTTGATTTATCTGAACGTCTACTGAGGAATCAACATGACCTCACTGATTTGTAGAAAACCGGGTCCTGTGTGGTTGATAGGTATTCGGTCTGCGAAATGAGATCGAGCTGAGAATTTAGGCTTTGATCTGACTCGAAAAATTAAATGTTTTGTATCGCCTGGCAACGTTTAATGACTTAAACAGTTCCATCACTTTATACCAGATAGTATAAAATGAAAATTCAACTGCGGAAGTTTATAGTCATGTATAGGCCAGACAACCAGTGGAATTGAATAGAGAAAGTAACCGATTTGAAACAGATAGGAAGCAGTTACACAGTTGACACTGTAATAAACAAAATTTACATTACTAAAGTGTTTAAGCACACGTCCAAGAGAACATGAAATAAGACTAGCTGTAATACAGACAAACCAAAATAGTTTAGAGATTATATGCGATAAGGCAAACGACCTTGTAGTAGCATTAAACATACTACAACTTAAAAGTGGAAATAAAGCCAGTATGCCCCAAAAAGTTTTGCCTATTTACAAGATCCTTAAACCTTTCATAGCAGTTACTAACCGTCGTTCAGTAAAGGATAGGTTAGAAAATATTATCATTTTGTGAGTAAACTATGCTTATAATGGATGTTTCCCCTCAAAAATATCGAACCATTTAAAAACATATTAGTCAGACAAAAAATATTCCATAGGAAACATGCGGCTGTTATTATGCGACAAATATGGGACAGTCAGTTTCGTTTACTTATCTATAATGCAATATAATTAATGATAATAAAACTAGTATCCAATTAATAACTTGAGATCATCCGCTTAGAATCTAATAGTTCATAATAAAGCGTGATCCTTAACCGATGTTGTGAATGAGATGATCACACATAATTGATTTTATAGATAACGGTTTGTTTCTAAAAATGTAGCATAGCCGTCTTAAAGTTAATCATTAGTAAACATAGGTTTGCAGAATTAGTATAAATTAATAGTAACTCTTCTAACTAGTTAAAAGCAACGTTGGACCTGTACACGTATAAACTCACTGGGAACTATTCATCGTAGTTTATTTGCCCTTGCATGCTGCTGACACTGTCAGGACTGACATTGAATTCAAAGAGCTTATTAGGTCGGATGGATTCTCGTACATTTCCCAATACCACGAAGAAAGTCAGGTCAACTTAACACAAGTTAGCCATTCGGTCACTCAAGATATCATATAAGTGCGCTTCTGAATTTGCACTGTAACGGCATCAAAGCTGTACATGTTTCTCTTGGAAAATTGATACTAATTCAGTGTTTGTTCATCCTATCTTGTCGATCTGATATGGTCAGACAGCACAACTAATCTCTCGGACGGCTACTGACCCACTAGCAACTTCTAGAAGTCCGACGGATACGAGATGATTATGAAGACGGAGCACCTGAAATCCCATACCAAGTGGACAGTCATCTACAAGCAAAACTCAAAAGGACAGAATTGAACGATAACTAGACCGCAACATCCCCATCTTGGATAACGTAGATGTTTCTTTCTTTACCGGGAGCTCTTGGACGGAACGTTCGTTTCATAATAAAATCCTACAACTTACGAAAACTAAACATGATACGCAGTTTGGTGAGGTTAACTACCGCCATGCCCAACAGACGTTACCTAGCTTATTCTTTCAGAACTGATAAATCTGGGTTCTTACGAACTGAACAATGTTCGCGGAAAATCCTCATCTTGGATAACGTAGATGATTCTTTTTTTGTAACAAAATACAGATCTCTCTGAGTGCCTACCAGTGCAAATTAGTTAGGGTTGTACTTTTCCTTCTATTTATTCCGTGCTGCTTCAACATTTTGCTTCAGAAATAAACTGAGGTTATCGAACAATCATACCACTTGTAATATGGTCCAGTGACGAGTGAAGTCACAACGATAATACGAAGAAGTCGATTGGTTTTCGTAGCGTGAGGCAGAAACTATATTACACGACTACGTGCTTTGTATTACTTGACATGTGCAAATATCCCAACTACATTTAGAATAAGAGGATTGACAGCTATTTTTGGATATAAACCCTTAAAAGAAGCCCAAATGACGCAGGACTTCTGGAAAATAACTAGTCAGCCAATAAGATGCAACGTACTTATTAACATTGTCCACCGGTTTAAGTTGCCAAACCCCATTATGAAACCTTCGAAAGGAATAACAGTGTGAGATGTAGTAAGAATCACTAGTGGTAATATGACTCAGCACCCAATATACACTTCACGAGGTTAATATGGATTGCCAAAATAGTAAAGCAACCGTGACGAACACAAGGCCAACAAACGAAATTATGCGGAAGATTGGTCTTGTTGGTATTCTATTGATTTTCAGCCTTCTTATAAATCATGAGACTGAATATCATTTCCTACTTTACACTCCTCGACTTCACTTGTTCCATTTTGATGAATTGTGTCTATCATGTTTAGATTACCATTGATTTCGATAATATGTCACATTCTATTTTTCTTATGTCATTAATACCCTCTTGATTCACTGACGTGTAGCGAAACAACTTGAACCGATGCACAATCACTCTGAATCCCATGTTGACAATGACTGACTGAATAAATGAATGGTAATCAAAAGCTTAAAATACATCCAGCTACCGAAGTCATAACGATAGGCTATTGGTTTTCGTAACGTCAGGTAAAAACGATGTTACAATCACTACCTATGGAAAATTTGAATAACACAATGAGAAGATAAGATAATCAGAACTATCTAAAAGTGACGAATGGATTCGATCATAAACAAGAGGTTCTCTAACGTTTACAGAACTAGGGAATTGGTTGTCAGTTGCTGACCGTCAACACTACAAAGAGATGTGCTATTTGGTGACCTGCCCGAAGGAAACGTCTAACTGCCTCCAGACATCGGTGCAGCCTGTAACACAAACCTCCTTACGAACCATGAGTTTGTTTCTATTCTCACCGTTCCTCAATTGAACTGGTGAGACCTAAAGGAACAACTATTCAAGCCAATATAGCGATTGGGCAAGCTTGAACAAAGTCGGGTACAACAAAACAAAAGTACTGAAGGCATTAAATTATTTATTGACAGTAACTTTCGAAACGGACAATTGTATGAAATCGTACTGCAGACTTACTTACTTGTCTTTGTATAGTCGATCATCGGCCATATTCCTACTGAAAGGTGAAAGATGATAACACTGGCTTCATGGAACTAGTGAGGACATTCGTACTTCACTTGAATAAAATGAACATACTGGAAAGTCAGTGCTGATTTTAGTTTTCAGGATACAAGTATAATTGTGATTAGTGATTGATAGCTCATGTTCCAGAAGTTATTTTTAAAAGTCACTTTGATAATTAATTAGTGCAAAGTCCAGTAGAGATTTAGTTTGGGTCAACCCGAGGTGAAGTGTGAATCGATAGACACAAATGACCGAAATTTTGCCTGTAAAATTTTAGGAAATACTTCTTGATTACGTGCATAAGGAAAGGTACATTACCACGACAATATAATAAATTGCAAACCAAAACTCGAAGTGAAGTTACTCATTGTAGAGACAATTTTAGTTTCAGGTCAGAAAACAAGTTGGCTTGTCACAAACGTATTTTGTAATGTCCTGATTAGCACCAAGTCAAGAAGTCAGCTACTCCGATTTACCAATTCGAACAGTACATACTCTTCGCATTTGGATGAAACTGTTCGAGCAACATTAGCAATACTAGGTTATAATAATGCTTACAACAGTAATTGGATGTAAATATCTTCATTAACGAGATGGGATAATTAAGTTGCCGTATGACCAACAAATCCGGCTCAAGGTAAATTTCTGTGAGGGGAGTTTTTGGCAAATATAAGTACCTATGAAGAATTTTTCAGGAAAATTCCATTTCAAGGACAATTTTGTGGAAATATCGATGTATTCACGAGACAGGCCGAAAAGATCTTGAAATATGGAAATTTGTAAAATTTCATTTTTACATGGCTAAAGTCAACCGGTTGGGACGATGCAAAAAACTCATTTCAGACGACAAATTATGATAAATAACCAACAGTTTAAACCAGTCACTACTCAAATACTTATATTATTAGTGTAAACTGGATCAAACTTATTTGTTCCGCAAATTCTTCAAAGAAAATTGTGGAGCGACTTCACACTTAAATGAAGTGGGAAGTTGTCTGTCTTCCAGTTGCATGACCGAAACTATATCTAAGGTCTGATAATCTTGATGTACTAATTACATGACTGCATCGATAAATTGTTTCAGAATAGGAAGTATTCGAGTCAGTCAAACACTGGATCGTATCCAGTTGATTAGATTGGATGAAACTTAACAGTGTCCATGTTACTTATTTTCTAAAATATAACTGATTACCTTTGAAACTTTTTCTGAAATGGGATTAGGATCAGTGGAGATACCTCTGGGAACAAATAATCGTATATGTTAGTAATTTCATAATTTATGGGCATTACTGAGTTCAACGCTGGGTCGCATAACTTGCTACCTGAATAAAAAAACTCGCTGAAACACATCATGTCCGTATGGACTAATGACTAAGTGTCTTAAGATGAGAGAGAAGATAGGCCAATTAGCGTGAGATTATGGCCTCGAAATCACATAAAACAACGTCG